CCCAACAAAAACTGTACGAAAAACAATAACTACCCCATACCTATATAAGCCCCTCAAAAAACAAAACACGACACAGACCCTCTAAGCCGAGGGCTCTTCAGAACCCCTCTTACCCCCCAGAAACTGGCCCCACTTAGCGAGAACCGGCAACCATGCTTTCTACACGCCACCAAACTTCCACGAAAAACTGAACAGAGCAACATCAAAGTACTCGTCCGGGTAACCTCTCTTCCAGAGCTCTCATTCCAAAGAGAACAGCAGAGGAAACACCATCCCTTCAATGGATGAAAAGGTCTTCGCACGGTGGAGAAAAGAATAAATCACGGCAAATTTCTGCTGTCGAGAGGTATACGAGCAAAAATCCTGAATGTTCTGAAATATCAACTTATCATTAACCTCCCGACGCTGGTTTTTAATCATTGGAAAACACGCCACAGCAGTCTTTCCCTAGATAATCTTGAAAACACACCCAAGATAATCCCAACTTAACCCATCACTGGTTTTCTCCAAAACCAGATTGCTATCATAGCATTCGCTGAATGCTTCAATAAGATCAGCAGCCGATCTTCGACCAGCATCATCACCCTTTCTACAAATTGCGAAGACAAAAACGTCATCAACAAGCCGAAAGCCTCAGAACCTTTTCCGATCCGCACCCAGACTGGAAAGAAAGACAAATTCATTGTAAGCACAGAGAAGACAGGCAAGGGCAGGGCTTGAAGACTTCCCCATAGGAATACCGACCCTTTGCCTCAGTAAGCGACCGGACGCAGAGACCAGAGTGTTTTGGAGCTCAAAGGAAACAAAAGACAAAATCAAAGGGAACGAGACCTTCTTCCAACCATCCTCACAACGACCCTTCAAGAGCACATCACCCTTTCCCCGCTTCCTTATACGAACAGCAACAACCCCCTTGTCTGACCAAAACTCCACAACCCAAGTTAGTGCCTTTAAAATAGACGAAAGAAGGAAAAGATTGGTGTTGCATGCACCCATCAGGAAACTGTTAAGTACACTGCGAGAACATGGATTTTTGAAAGGAAACTTTCTACCCACGACAAAACGTGGAATAGTCCGGGAGATTGGAAAACATCTCCTTGACGTCGAAACAAGCACCCACCATCTCGTGCCGATCGGTCAAACCCTTGTTGACAATCGCGATACTAGATAAAAGACCATCAGCACTACGCAGATTCAAATTCGATTGAGCTGGCAGATTCCAAAGTAAAGCATTGACGGCCCGAGCAATGATCCGGCCACCGCTAGCCGAACACTCCGAATACGAGGGGCAAATAGGCCGCCATCGCGTAACGTCCTTGTGCTTTGGTAAGCAGTAAGCCCTCCCGAGAACACCATCTTTTCTCCATTTACTGACCGCACCTAATCCAAATCGTTCATACTCCACACAAGGATTCCTCAATAGTACATCTTCAATGTCCGAACAGGGTTCGAAAGAGGGATTATCAAGAAACAGTTTCCTCATACCAGAATCGTAGACCAACGGGCAGCAAACCAGCGTATCACCCATATTGTGATCTATAGGACAACAAACCAAACCCTGAAACACCGATCAGTATGGAAACAAAGCATCCTCACAGATAGTAGCCGGCGACAAAGAAGAAGAGTCAGAGCCCGAGAACCACCCTTCCAGCAAATCATCCGTCAAACTACCAGGACAGAGAGATGACAAAGAAGAGTGATCAACAAAAGCATCAATAATCAGCGATCGGATAACTGAAATAGAACGAGACTAAGAAGGAGGAAGCAAATTCTTCGAATTCTTACGTCCTTCAACACGTGGCAAGGCTGAGTCAACACCGTAACAGCTACAACACACCACCTCGACCCTCGACGCCTGCCTGTGGTTGTGCAACAAGTCACCGACACTCTTATTCCGCACCCAGACAATCCTCATCCTCCTCACAATCATACCCTTCCATCCCTCCGAGATATCAAGACCCGATACCAACCAAGCACAAACTTGTTTTACCTTGGGCTTGAAAATTCCTTCATAAAAAACCAAACGAACGATAAGCCGTTTACGAACATGAAGACCGAACCTTGAGAATACATTTAGATAACAAACAACGCAGAACCTGGATCTCTTTTCGCTAAAGGTACGAATAGCCATGTAGGCAGCAATACACTCGTCCACACTCCATTCCATTAATAAACAACGACTACGCGGAGTACCCAAGAAGCCAGCCAACGGACCTTTAAGAACTAAAGACCTAATCAGAAACGGAACCACGGATAGGAAACGAAGAGTAAACCCATCTTTAATCCAACCTCTTCCATGCCGCAATTCGATCGTGGCGAACACGCATGAGACGATACTACCCCCATAGAGCCTCCGGAGAACCTTCCAACGATCGATCCAAGCCTCGCCCCCTACGCATTTAACAACTACATAACGAACAGATCTAATACGACAATCCTCCAAAACCTTGAGAAGGCTACCCGAAACAACACTTGTAGAAGAATAGAAAGTCAGCAACGACCGTTTCACCAGATCACAACCAATCCCAGCAACGTTGACCAAACGCCTACGCTTCCTCAATCTTTCTTTCAAACCCGGTCGGCACTTCTGAGAGCGCCACGGCTTATTCTTGGTATTAAGCGCTGGACAAAACGACCTAATAGAAAACTTTTCCGTAGCCAAGAGATCGTCAGAAGGGCAACAACAGAGCGGAACGATAACATAGGTATGACCACCACATCTCCGAAGCCACCTATATAATTTCTTATTTCTCCTGCCTTCTTCAATGCCATCCGACTGACAAGAACGGTAGACATGCTCCCGCCAACGAGAATGCAGGTCATGTTGCGTGCTACCAATATACAAATGCCTTGACCATGGAGATAGCAACGCATAGACAACTGGTCCCTTCCACTCACCACCAAACAACAAACATCGCGACATTAACAAAAATTTTGCCAACTTGCATCCCCACGGAACCTCATTCGCCAAGATAAGTCCAAAGACAACGATACACAACAATACATTAAGCTCCCTGCATCTAAGAAAACCCGAAGATACAAACCGAATTCTACAGCAAGTCCGCATAATAGACTATAGAGAGGCCGCGTTAGGGCGTGAGTCTAAGAGGTAGCCGAGTCACGCCCGTCGCTCACATCGAAAGATTCATCCCCGTCTTCCGAGACCTCGAGAACCGACCGACTCTTTGTCTTACCTTCATCAGTCTCATCATAGATCTTTGCAGCACGTTTCTGCACGATCTCCTCCTTTGTGGGATCCAACTTTGAATACACCAGACCTTCCTTTTCACAAATTGCCAGAATATCCTCCTTCTTCATAGTTCGCAGCTGCCTCCTTGCATCACGGATGAACGCTTCCCTTTCATTAACCTTACCATCCGAGGTTGTTGTTGCTTTACTCTTGTCCTTCCTGGCCAAAGGCCCTGTTACCTCATCCAGCCTTGCTTTAAACCTAGAATCTGATACCTTAGTCTGCCTCTCTGCGCCATAACCTCTTTAAGTCTATCGATCTCCTGCTGAGATTCCTTCCTCGCGTTGACTTCCTTCAAGCGCATTTCCTTCAGTAGGTCAACCTCCGCCTTCCCTTGAGCTCCGCATTGGCCCGCCTCACAGTCTGGGGAGAACCAACCGGGGTGGTCCGAGGCCTAAATTGGGCCTCCGTAATAGGAGTCTGATCGATAGCAGCGCACCCTCGCTTGTTACCTGGTCTGAGAGCTTCAGACTTCCATACCTCAGCGCTTGCCTCGACCTCCTCACACCTCCCTTTTAGTGATGTGATAAAGTCCTCTAATGCCGCAAACGTTCGATCAGCAGCAGACTTCATCTCTGCCTGCTCACTATGTAACCTTGCAATCTCTTCAGCCTCATCCGCACGTTTCGTTGGTACCGACGACGATGGTCCTTGCACTCGCTTCATCAGCTCGGCGACCTGAGCCTTGAGCCTCGAAACCTCCTCATTGTCACTGTTTCTGGTCAAAGTACCAGCAACGCCAGATTCGTCCCAAGATCTCTTCAACGCCTCCACCTGAGCTTTCAACATAGCCACCTCGTTACTGTCACCACCCTTTTTGGTAGAAACAACTTCACATACCCGGTCGAGCTTGCTGTTCATTTCCCTATTCAACTGAGCCAGGAATTCTTCCCGTTCACGCTTATCACGCTGCGTACGCTCCTCCTCCTCCCGCTCACGCTTCCTCCTATCTTCTTCTTCACGAGCCGCTTGCTCCTTTGCCTCTTCGGCCTCATGCTTGGCCGAGATCTTCCCAACCTTCTCTTCGAGTGTACTGACCCTGCTACCCAGCCAGCCACCCCCGCCAGAGGAATGTCTCGAATAAGGTTGGACGGCAGTTCCAAAACCGTTGCTGCCAGGCAAAGTCAACAAAGGAGCCTGCACTGGAACGATAGCATTACTAGTTGACGACTGCACTCCATTCAACCGCCTATGAGGAAAAGGACAGAATCTGGCCAAATGGCCAGCCTGGCCACAGCTGTAGCACGGACCCTTGGCACCACCGCCACTCATGTTGTTGAAGTTAGAAGCCATCGTTCCACGAAAAATACCGAAGCCACACAGCCGTAGTATCACTCCTATGTTGGTTATTCCGTGAGTCAAAGAGAGTTAAGCACAAGGCTTATACAAGATGGTTTCAACACACCAACACTCAGAGCAACGACACCAGCAGAGGATCAATGGAAAGAGAAGGGGGAGGAAGAGAGAAAGGAAAGCGGAGAGACGACACTGATGTCCCGAACGCGACTTTTATTAAAATATAACGTGAAGCATGACAGACGACCCTACCGGTTTCACCAGGCCGCCAACCTGGATCATCAGGGGTCTGAAGTCGATGCGATGGGCATCGGGTCAAAGACATATATACTGCGAATTTGACATTGGTAGACTAGTCTAGACGCCGTCAGATACTCATCGTTCAACAGACTTCAACACTAAGCCGCGCGATCCCACAAGCCAACGATCGTTAAAAACCTATAACAAAGGAAAAACCTCAATACCAAGACTAACAGACCTTCAGTAATACCAGTCAACAATTCAAAACCCAGTACTATCCACATCTGCCCTACAACAAAACCAACGACAAAGGAAACCTCAATGCTAAGACTAGCAGACCTTTGGCAAGACCAGACAACAGTTCGAATCCCAGTACCATCCACATCTTCCATTCGGAAACACCAAATGCAGGAAAGACCCACGCCCTTCTTCCAAACCGTAAGTCCGTGGACCGAACCCAACAAAAACTGTACGAAAAACAATAACTACCCCATACCTATATAAGCCCCTCAAAAAACAAAACACGACACAGACCCTCTAAGCCGAGGGCTTTTCAGAACCCCTCTTACCCCCCAGAAACCGGCCCCACTTAGTGAGAACCGACAACCATTCTTTCCAAACGCCACCAAACTTCCTCGAAAAACTGAACAGAGCAACATCAAAGTACTCGTCCAGGTAACCTCTCTTCTAGAGCTCGCATTTCAAAGAGAACAGCAGAGGAAACACCATCCCTTCAATAGCTGAAAAGGTCTCCGCACGCTGGAGAAAAGAATAAATCACGACAAATTTCTGTTGTCGAGAGGTATACGAGCAAAAATCCAGAATGTTCTGAAATATTAACTTATCATTAACCTCCTGATGCTGCAGCCATTTCGGGGCAGTGACCGGTGAGGATCGCCCTCCAAGACCACGACCAGGGAGTGTCCGGTACCATCTTGCGCCATACCCTGTCCCACCAGCGCCACGTCAGTACGGCCACCCGACACTGCATAAAGATGTGCTCGATTGTCTCATTCCATTTGCGTGAGGGGAAAGCCGTGAGGCACCGCTGACACCAGGGCAGTGCAACCCTTTTCTGTTCTAGGTGGGTGTGATCTATTAGCCAAACATTTGTGGGGAGGCAGCGGTGGGCGATCTGCCACTGCAAAAAAGAGGTTTTGGCTGGTCGAGCTTTATTGTTGCTAAACCACTTGATGGGCGTAACGAGGGCCCGGTCTACGTTGAGGTATCTGGCCCATCTGTCATTTATCTGATCCCTTTGCTGCCTCTTCAGTCTGAGCATCCTGTATGTGGTCTTTACTGTTAGCTTGTGGAGGTAGATCTTCCTGGTTGGTGCAGTCGTTTGTCTGCCGGGAGGGCGGGGCGCCGTTTTCCTTGCAGACAGCCATTGCCATTCTAGCTCCTGTATGGGAGACTGGGACTGAAACACAGAGAAGTCCGTGTCAGTTCCTAGCACTCGTACACGGAAAACCTCCTCCCTCTCCCGCCATTCGAAAGGGTCACGGGAGCCCGTCAACTGATTAGTTGGCTCAATCTTATAATACTCTACCAGCATGTCTGCGGGACAAAGATGGTGAATCCTGCCCACCCTATGCGGCTCCCCGCTCAGGCCAACCCAATCTTCATCCTAGAGAGTGGGCCCCTGTTTCAGTATTCGAACCCATGCAAGCGGGATAGCTTCCGTGATCTTGTCTAGATGTTCTTCTATGCGATGGCAGTAGCGAAGGTCGTCCCGTTATTGTGTTGCCGATTTCCAATCCTTCCTCGCCATGTCCCATAGTTGTCCTACCCGCGTGATCCCACGCTGTACCCACCCCTTCCATGGCGCGGGTGAGCTGCAGAGCACTTGGCCTGAATGGGGTGTGATCCATCGGTTTCCAAATGGTTGTCGGGCCACTTCCTCCCATCGTTTCGGGGCTTGCTTTTCCGGGAGGGGTAATTGACGCCAACACTTTAGTAGTGACGGCCAGAACTGTTACACTGGCTGACCCTGAATTTTCCGAGGGATCGACCAGTATCTGTCCTCTAGCCATGTAAGCGGGGGGACTCCCTCCGGGGCCGGGGGGTCCAGACAGGCAATGTGCTCCAAAGGCAAGGCTCACCAAGGGCACTGGGGGGCAAAGATCAACTTCTTTATCCACTGGAGGCGGAGGGCCCGGACTTGTGTTTGAGGGTCAATGATACCCAAATCGCCCCCTGTTTTTGGCTGAATCACCGAGTCCCATGCCACCCGGTTGAGTACATTTGCCCGCTCGTCGTCGCCCCGCCATAAAAAGGTTGCTACCCTGACCCTAAGAGACTGATATGCAACTTTACTCAATGGCCAGAGTACCGACTTGTACCACAATGTAGCAAAAATGACGTTATTGATGGGCAGTGCCCGTCCAAAAAGTGAAGTGTGTTTGTTCCGCCATTGGGACAACTTGGCCAGGGCAGGCGCGCTGATCCATTCATTGTTGGTTGGTGGGCACCCGGTAGCTGACACGAACACCCCTAATACCCGCAGTGGGGCTTCCGGGGGTAACCATCGTATGCGAGGAGTGTCAGGGGGGTCCCCCCCCTTGATGGTGGATCCACCACCCCTGGGTTTTGCTCCCCCAGTTCACAGCCATGTCCGAAACTGCTGTAAAGCGTTCCATCAGCCTTCTCACCTCTTCCATGTTTTCTTGCGTAGCATCGACCATGATGGTTAGGTCGTCCGCAAACAGCGAGCATACTGGTATGGCTTCCTCCGGGATCCTTGATATGTTTATTCTGGTCAGATCCTTATTAGCCCGCAAGTTGGCTGACAGAGCCTCCATAATGATGAGGAAGAGGAAAGGTGCAATAGGGTCTCCCTGTCGCACCGACCTTTCTTGTTTTATCGGCGGTGCCAGTGACCCATTGATCTGTACACTTGTGGTAGCATTTTGGTGTAGAATTCTTATCCACCACCGAAAGACTGGTCTGAAGCCTAATTTCTCCAAACATTTGTCTAAAAAAAGTTAGTCGACATGGTCGTAGGCTTTTCCAAAGTCAATGAAGACAAAGGCCGCGTTTTTCTTCGATTGGAGAGTAAGTTACACCATTTCATGGATGAGGAGGATATTTTTGTGGATGTGTCTGTGCTGCATGAACCCCGTTTGGGATGGGTGGATCACTCCCTCTAGAACCGGGATCATACGATTCGCCAAAACTTTTGCTACCATTTTTTAGGTAACAGTCAAGAGGGTGATGGGGCGGTAATTACGAATGTTCATATGGTCTCCCTTTTTGTCAAGGAGAGACAGCACCCCTTGGCCTACCAATTCCCCCATATCCCCCGAACGCCAGACCTCTGCATAGTAATCCATAAGGTCCGGGCTTAGCTGGTTCCATGCCATCTCCCAGAATTCCTTTGGAAGGTCATCTAACCCAGGGGTTTTCTCTTCCTCCATTTGCAGCAAGGCTGGCAAGGTGCCAGAATTCGGGGAAAACTTTCCAAGCACTCTACGGAAGGCAAAATGGACTCAAAGTTTTTTGGGCTCGCCCGTGCCAGATCTAAGCGCACCACAATTGAAGCCCATTACGACCTATAGGGGACGGAGGGGAATCCCTCCCTCACAACGGCGGGCTGTGTTAAAATAGCCCGTGACTTTTTCAAAGATTTATTTGCCACACACATCTCCGCCATGGAGGAAGCAATCCGGCTGCGTCAGATCGACGACTTCCTGTTATCCTTGACTAAGAGTCTAAGACACTTGCTCCAGAGCTATGAATCCCCCTCGGTGGCGGACAAACGCGGCCAAGTCCGCGACCGCGTGGCGGCCGGTGGGGAGGGGGGTTGGGGATTCGGGAAGCGCCATGCGGCAGCGCAACCCCAGCCCCACCCCCTCAA